TTTTGCTGACACAAAGGGTTTCAAAATTTTTTTTCAAGGGGGTGACCGCCACTGCCACTGAATATGATATTATTTTTTTTTATTATTTTTTACTGCCCTTGTATTTTTTCTCATTGAAAAAAAAAAAAAAAAAAAAAAAAACATTACAAAAAACTGATCATGTGTTCCCAAAATTTGATAATAATCATTTAAATATGTTAGTCTTTGTTACAGTAAACTTTATGAAATAATGAATGTTTTTTTATGGGAATTTCTAAAACATTCAAGTCCAAAATATAGTCTTTGCAGGTTTCCTTTTATTTTTGTTTTTAACAGGTACAGCACATTTATGAAATATTTGTAATAAAAGACATACATGACTTCATGAAATTCACTGTAATTTTTGAGTACTTATTAACATCAATATTAGTTATCCTAATTAGTCCCAGAAAAGATAAAATTGTGTGATTTTCCGAAATCGATGAAGGTAATCATTTGTTGTTTTGTTTTTAAACTTGTATTGAAAACTTGTCATGAGAATCATCAAGAGGGTTTAAACTAACCTACCGGTATATACCGGTAACAATTTTTATTTTTACTTTTTCTTAAAATTGGATTCGTTTTTTCATTTTTTTTTTCTGGGTCTGAAACTAACAATTGTTGATTACAGCATTCTGAATGCACAACAAATCTTATAAATGCTGGCCGTCATAAAACAATATATTTTTAGTTCAGTACATGTGCCGAGACAAGTGAATCATTTATTTTTTTCCTGTATGTTCTATGCTCCATTGATTATTGTTTTGTTTTTTTAATTCAGGGCATTCATATGTATTTAAACTTCAATGTATTAAAAATGATTAAAAATTATCACAATTGTTTTTTTTGATTATTTATTTCATAAAACATTGATAATAATCCCCCCCCCCCTCAAAAAAAAAAAGATTTATTTTCATCTCAAGTTAATGAAGGAAAAATTCATTACTGCCTGGGGGTATGTCCATTTGCTGCCTGAAAGTTTATGTTTGTGCCTTGAAAGTTGAAAAGAGGTGATTTCCGCTTGTACACTGTAACCTACACCGTGAGTTTCCTCTGAAATAAATTAACTGTGCACCAGAAAGTTCTTCAGTTTGACTCGTAAATAAGATTGCACTGACAGGAATGGACTGCTTTGGGATTTTGTAATGTATATTGTTGAATAGAAGAGGTCAGATCTATCACAGTTTTGTGTGGAGTTATTTGATGTGAGTGTTTAAGGGATGAGCCATTTAAATTCATGGGTGGTAGGGAGTAATCATAATTTAAGCTTGTTAAACAAATAAAAACATGTACCACGGGCAAAGAACGTGACATTGCTGTGACATTGCTCGACATGTGTATGTAAATGTACTGTTAGAATCCTATTACTAACCAGGTTTGTGTTACAATGTTGCAACTTCAAAAATAGGTTCAAAACCACAAAGTTGTGGGGGGTCATTTGTAATTAGTACTATGGTACATGAGACTAAAATCACTAAATATATTCATTCATGATCTGAAAATAGTTTAAGTAAAAATAAATTCAGTTTGGGAAACAAAAATCACTGCAAACTCATCTTGGAATCATTTTTCTCGTCGACATCACATGTAAACGTTGTCTTTCTAATGCCATTGCGATGTTTTCCTGATGCTCCGTCACGTGATGGTATGTGTGTGTATTATACGTGTAGAAAACGTCAAACTTTTGAGCTAATCGCTATTCAATATTTAAATTTGAATGACACTAATACTGATACAAACTTTTATAAATATGTTTACGTAAATTACATAGGTGTTTTTAATGTCAAAATAAGTCTAAATTATTATGATTTAGCTTAATATGTGTTTCTGTTGGAGATGTGATTCTAGTAGAATAAATGAGAGTGGGTGTGATTTGAGTATTATATAATTGTTTTGATTTTATGAATCAGAAATCTAAACTTTGCATGGCTGCATATAACAGTGTGTGGTGTTCACAGTTGTATGTCCCTTTCCTAGTTATATTTTTGAATTCCCACTGATGAATGTACTTATGCTGTATGTCATGTTGCCAAGTCTTTCCCTTGTGTACATAATACAATTTCATAGCTGATTTATTATATGCCCTGTCTGATAGTAAATATGCACACCCCCCTAGAATTAAAATGATACTGCCCTAAGTAATTGACCATTAACAAATTTCTCTGGGAAAGAGGGGGGGGGGGTAGGTTAAAAAGTCCTACAGGGTCATTGTCATCAAGGCACTATTTGTTGTGAAATTCAAGCCTACCATATTTAAGTAATACAGTAAAGCATTTACGCAAGTTTATTTTTCCTCAGCCCATAATCAATAAATGTATTCATTGACAAATAAGCACAGAAAAACACATTTTAATGAAAAAACTTGGAAATAAAAATCAAGCCCCAAAACAGAATTAAGTAAAGAAAAAAATTGTTTTTCTGACATCTCATTTTCCAGAGTAAAGTTCTAATTCCATGGAAGCATCCCATCAGTGCATCCTGAAATCCAGGTTTTGTTCATTTGTGTAAAATCAACATTCGTCTGATATAGTAACTGACTTCAAAGCTTATTGGTGTTTTTGCTATGGAGGGAACAGTAACCATATACGGCACCAGCACAGTAGTGAATTGACATACTTTAAAAACATTCAGGAAGTTGCTCGTATCAATAGAGACCATGTGATGGACTGTTAGACTGTTGTTTCCTGTAAAGTAAACAAATTACTTTAGCTGCTCTACCTTCTGTGAGATTTGTTTCCTTAGAAGTGCCAGCAGTGAAAGCATAGGAAATGGTAGATTATGCTGCCGGTACAAATGTATATTGGCAAATAAGGAAAACGAAAAAATGAGCCAAAATTAGATTGAGCAAGTAGCTTCTATGTATAAATTGACTTTCAGAAAATATACAATACTGATATAAATCTTGACTTTGGTCTCTCTTCACAAAGCACTAGTAACTTCAGTTTTTCTGTGGTTTATCACATCAATTATGTTCAGTTGGTTGAAACATTGTGAAATAATTTTTGAAAAATTTATTACCAACAATTTGTTGGGTAAATGCTTGATGTTCATATCTTCAGTGCATAGCTAGATTTAGTTCTGTGCGTCATAAACCTAATAAGCCAGAGCCCTGTAGGTCAGATCGGGTTCACAGTAAACAGACTTCAGAAAAGTAGATATATTACTAGAATTAAGACAAACAAGTCAATGACTTATCAGCTTTTGACAAAAAGTACATGATGTATATTCCAGTCAGGGTCAGATAACAATACCAAACTACTGGGCATATGTGCAATGCATTATGGGTGAGAACTTTGTAATATGGAAATATTATTAAAAAAAACTTTTTCATATTTGAATTCATATCTGTAGTTAATAACATAACTCTCATATCACTGAATAAAATCACCAAAAATAAATACCACCAATGAAAATCAAAGTTAAAAGTTTTCGACTGTTATTTCTTGAAACAATGTCTTATGAATTTAATTTTTTTTCTTGCCCATAATGAGATTCAATCGACAAGATGTAAGGGTTACTATTTTTGTTGTTTTTGTTGTTGTTGACTTTCTAGTAACCTTGTTGTGACCTCAAAATTGTTGGGGGAAAAAAAAGTTTTGTTAGGGTTTATTTAGTGAAAGAAGTCGAAAGTTGACTTGGTTTTATCAAAAATTGGATCTCAACTTTTGAAATTAGGCATTTGATCAAAAAGTGGATCTTAACTTTTGAAATTAGGAAATTAAACAGTGATACCAAACCAAACTGTTGGAAACTTCACCTACTGATTGTAACATGCACGTATACTTCTTCATGCCAATTAATAGTGAACCAACACACATGTATCCTCCCCGAGGGGATATCTCGGGATGACTGGATTTATCCAGCAATATAGTTTATTTCTTTAACCAGTAGGGGATTATAGCCTCTGGGTCTGATGACGTTATTGTGTAACCAATATCTAACTGGCTACTTGGCAAAGATTGAAAGGAAATATGGTTGTCATGGCTAGTGTAATGACAAAAATGCATGATATTTATCATCTGTTTCCCATTCCCATGGTGTTTTTAAAGTCCAGTTAAGTTCAACAATAGTGTTGTGACCTCAAATCTCCTGAGTACCGTACCGTACTTTTCTGTTTATTTATTTAATAAATTGCTGATTGAATTGTTTTCTGCTTGTTTCTTATTGTGTGCATGTGACACTTCTTCATCTTTTCGAAACTTTGGATGTAGGGGAACCAGATTGGATATACCGGTACTGGTACTTCCTAACTTTGTTTTTCTTAATGGAGGCCTGGGATGAACGTGTTAACATTGGTAAAACACAAGATATGATGTATTCCATTATGTGTGTTATTGCAGAATTATTTTCACCCACTATATCATCCTGAAATGTTCAAATGTGGTTTGCAGAAAGATGAATGATATATTGCCAGCATTTGTTTTAAAAAAACAGCATCAAATGTGAACCAAACTTGTGAAACAGTTGATTATTCAGCATGCTATGTACTGTGTGAGAATTTATACTATCCAGAAAACAGTTGATTACTTTTTGTTTCACTTTTGTTTCTCCTCATTGGGACTGAGTCCTAAAAAAAGTAGGGCTGTTAGTTCAGGTTGCATCCATCTATTTGTGTATTCATTCATTTTCCATTCATCCAAGGCCATTTCTCAGTTGGACATTGATTGAAGTCATTACATATGCATTGTAAACCTGTCATATAATCGCATATCTAAGCTTTCAGAATATATATTTTTTGTCATAAATACATACAT